AAAAATAGAAAAACTAGCCGGCATTATGGCAGAGGCCTGTAGTCCCAGCTTCTGTGGAGACCGAGGCTAGAGGATCACTTGAGCCCAGGAGTTTGAGGTTGCTGTGAGCTATTCTGCCATAGCACTGCTACCCAGGGCAACAAAGTGAGACTCTGCCTCAAAAACCAAAAACAAAAACCCCAAACAAACAAACAATACCCCCCCCAAAAAAACACCCCAATATGACGCTTCCCAAGGTTCTGCCTTCTGATTTTCTCATCCCTTCCTGCCAAGCCTCGCCTCTGACAGCCTGGGCCTTCCTGACAGGCCCTGAGCCCTAGTCATGTTGTCCATGACTTTGCTTATCCCTGAAATGCCCTCTTCCATCCCGTGATGCCTTGATGAATACCAATTTGCCCTTCAAAAGACCAGCAACTCATCATTCTAGTGAGTTTCCCCTGATCCTCCCTCTAGTTTAATAACTTTTTTCTCTACATTACTTCTAGACAGCCTCTGTTTCATGCATGAAATGTCCTTGAACTTATTCAGTATCTTTGTTCAACTTTTTTTGGTTTTGTTTTCAAACAAAAGGGCTCCCATATCTATTACCGAACCAGCGTGTCAGTGCAGAGCAAAGAGAAAACTCATTTTCCTGATGAAATGTGTCTGACTGTCCAGATGGTGCCATTTTCAGCTTCATGTGCTAAGATGGTAGTGACCCTGGTACAGCATAAATATCTGTGTCATCTCATGTGCAAGTCCTTAAGACACCCAGCTTGGTTCTTCTCCGATGTCTGCTCTTTGAGTTGTGCTTAATTTCATTACCAGTTTTCATTCGAATCCACTGGGGATGGTGTGATTTTGCTTTTGTTTCTTTTTCTTTTCTTTTTTTTTTTTTTTTAGACAGAGCCTCAAGCTGGGCCCCTGGGTAGAGTGCCATGGCTTCACTGCTCATAGCAACCTCCAACTCCTGGGCTCAAGCGAGTCTCCTGCCTCAGCCTCCCAAGTAGCTGGGACCACAGGTGCCCACTACAATGCCCAGCTATTTTTTGGTTGCAGCCATTATTGTTGTTTGGTGGGCTGGGGCTGGATTCGAACCCGCCACCTTAGGTGTATGTGGCTGGTGCCTTAGCCGCTTGAGCCACAGGCGCCGAGCCTGCTTTTGTTTCTTGGCTAGAAATCGCTTCATTCTGAAAGTCTTGTGGAAAGACATGGTGAAAATGGAGTCAATCGCACACACCATGGCAGAGAAAGCGGGAGAGGCTGTTGAGCTTTTTTATTAGACCCAACTTCTCAGTGACTTTAATTCTCTCGTGTCTCCAGAGACTCGCAGATACGCAGATAAACAGAACCGACTTGGGCTATGCTGAGGATATTTCTAGAAGGAAGGATTAGCTATTTGGGGGGATCAGAACATTCAGAATTAGTGGGACATCATTGCTCGGGATAGGATAGCATTTTGTTGTTTCTAGTTGAGGAGATGTTGGCTGTCTACTGAATTTCTACCACATTACCTCTCTGCACACAGGCAGGCTAGATACTAGGGGAAGAAGGCTCTTCTGTGAGTCCGTCTGCCTTGGGGTCGACCTATAACATTAGGAGAAGAAAAACACCTGTCTTCCTCAGGAGGCTCCTTTTGATGTCCATTTTAGTTAAATTGTACTCTTAACATAAAGGGGCGAAAGTTCAGAAGCATACCATCGAATATTCATCACATTGCTGACATTCTGAGGCGAATCAGGCTGGTTAAGTGACTCCCCGGCCTGCTCTCACCTATCCTGAGCTGGGAGCATCTAGATTTTGATTGGACCATTGCCAGAGCTCATTAACATAGTGTACCCTGACCTGGAATAGGGAACAGCGTCTGCTCAGAAATGACCAGAGCCTGTTGAGACCTGAAGCAGAGATGAGATTTTTATGACACACTGTGGTCCGCGTCCACATAAGAAGTCAGGAGGTAAGGAAGCCAGAGATTCCTGCAGACGCAGATGAAAAGGATGTGGACCTGGCCAGCCCATTTCTGCAGGGTTTCATTTTCCACAGAAATGATAAAAATTGAATACACTTTGGCCAAGGTGCTCTATAATTTAGTTTTTTAATCCTGGAGGAAAACTGAGTTTACTTGTTCGAGAGCTACAAAACAGTCTTTTCTCCTTGTCTATGTTTTGTTCTTAACGTTCAGGGAAATGTGAAATTAATGCTCGTTCATTTGGCAAAAGTTGATATCAGGGGGAAAAAAATCTAAAAAGCAACAGTTTTTCTGCTGCAATATATATATATTTTTAGTTCTTCTTTCTCCCCTTAATTTAAAAGCAAAAGGATTATATTTACATTGCCTAGGCTTTTAAGAATGTTTTTGAGTTTTGAAAATCTGAATCTCATTTTCCAAGGTTTTAAAAAAAATCTATTCCAATTATTGCTAACAAAATTTGGGCCATCAGAGTTACTGCGGTTACTGTTCGAAGAGGTGAGTACATAGAACTGCTGCTTGACTTGCGTCTCATACTTGTTATTTATGTCCTTTGAATTAAAGTCAACTCGTAGCATCATTTCATCAGTAACTCAATAGAATTTTACTTAAAATCCCTGGGGATATAGTTTTGAACATCAGTGTCTAATCAGGGAGCAGGAACTTCATGGCCTTTGATTCTGAGACCACTAGCTGAGTATGGCTAAGTGGGATAGGGAGGGAAGGGACTCAGTTTATCTTCTTATTTACTCGGCAAGAATTTCATTTACATGTTTAGGTCAACAGCCTTCTATATACATACCTGATGCCTCGGTAGAGCTCAGTGATTAATAAATATTAGAATTGATATGCTAAGATGGTAGTGACCCTGGTACAGCCATCTAAATAGCTAAAGAGCAGAGTCTTGCTAAAGTTTAGGCTATTAATCTAACTTGGGGTTTGAGTTTACTGTTAAGTGACTCTACGTAAGCATGCCCCTTGGTTATATAAAAGCACCAACAAATGGAAGTGTGATACACACGAACGTGCTTCACTTTCTATCCTACTAACAAACATATTACATCTGCAAAATGATTGATTTTGTTTCACTCAGGATAGAGCATTTCATATTTATTGTCCTTCTTTCCTTCCTTCCTTCCTTCCCTCCCTGGGTTCCTTCCTTCTTTCCTTCCTTCCTTTATAAATCCCCTTTAGTCTATCATAGTTGGAAATTACAGCAGTATTTCTCATGAGGAAAGAAATGTGATTAGCACAAGTATTTTAAAATATCATTTCCATAATGCAATTTTTTTTTGAGACAGAGCCTCAAGCTATCCCCCTGGGTAGAGTGCAGTGGCATCATAGCTCACAGCAACCTCCAACTCCTGGGCTCAATCGAGTCTCCTGCCTCCGCCTCCCAAGTAGCAGGGACCTAGGCACCCACCACAATGCCCGGCTATTTTTTTTTTTTTTGGTTGCAGCCATCATTGTTATTTGGCTGGCCCAGGCTGGATTCGAACCAGCCACCTTAGGTGTATGTGGCTGGTGCCTTAGCCACTTGAGCCACAGGCGCCAAGCCAAGTGAGCAAGTCTTAAAGGGTGCTGTAGGTTAAAACAAAGGTTGAGAAACACTATTTATTTATTTATTTTTGAGACAGAGTCTTGCTTTGTCACCCTCGGTGGAATGCCCTGCTATCATATTTCACAGCAAACTCAAACTCTTGGGCTCACGTGATCCACTTGCCTCAGCCTCCTGAGTAGCTGAGACTACAGGTGTACGCGACAACTCCAGGCTAGTTTTTCTATTTTTTGTGGAGATGAGGTATCACTATTGCTCAGGCTGGTCTTTAACTCCTGGGCTCAAGTGATCCACCTGCCTCAGCCTCCCAGAGTGCTGAGATTACAGGTGCAAGTTGAGAAACACTATTTTAAGCAGTTCTCAAATAGGCAATTTTACACCCCGCCTGGACATTTATCTGGAGATATTTTTGGCTGTCACAATCCAGAGTAGGGAGGACTGCTACTGGCACCTAATGACTATTATTCTAAACATTCCAAACACTATGCAAGGTAGCCCTTCACAACAATTATCTGGTCCAAAATGTCAACAGTGGGGCCGGGCACGGTGGCTTATGCCTGTCATCCCAGCACTTTGGGAGGCCAAGGCAAGAGGATCTCTTGAGCTCAGGAGTTCCAGATCAGCCTGAGCTAGAGTGAGACCCCCAACTCTAAAAATAGCCGGGCATTGTGGCAGGCGCTTGTAGTCCCACCTACTTGAGAGGCTGAAGCTAGAGAATCATTTGAGCCCAACTGTCTGAGGTTGTTGTGAGCTATGACTCCCTGGCACTCTACCGGGGGCAACAAAGTGAGACAGAGTCACTCAAAAAAAAAAAATGTCAACAATGCCAAGGTTAACCCAATTTCAGAGGAATTGGAAGTAAGGATATTAGTTGATGATACTTGAAGATATACAATGCACACAGGATTTATTGAGGAGAGCAAAATTAATCTCTGTGGTAATTTGGATTTAAAAACAAATACTTCTAGATAATCGGATGTGAGTTTCCCTCCTGTAACTTCAACCACTTGGTAGCTGATTCATGAAGGTATTTCTGTGAAACAATTCCAAGTCAGTGCTCCTCCTACCCCAACACAGGTTTATGGAGTAAAAGACCCTAACTGTTGGTTACAGGTGACAGTGACCCCTACTAAGGCCTTCACAGCCTGGATCTTGTGATGAGAAAGCAGTCCCAGCCAATGACCAGGTGCCTCTAATTCCCTATGGTCAAGCTTTATTTCAACAAGATTGCTAATGGCTTCTAAGTGTTGTTTTTTATTAATATGTTAGTACTTGCAAAAATGTTAATGAAATAAATGTTTCTGGCAAATAAGTGGTTTTTTTTTTATCTTTTTAATGGTCAATGTTAATAAAAGTATTATATTTTAGCCTCAGAAAACAGTTTCCTGGTCTAAGCTGCTGAAGTGGACTGATCAAGAATCTCTGAGAGCAAAATTCAAAAGTGCTTCTGAGGGGAGTTGAAGAGACCAAAACCTTGGGTGGCTTGACCTTATCATGGAACCTGATGACTTTGATTCTGAAGACAAAGACATGTCAAACTGGGACATTAATGATATGAAATTGCCACAGGTATGTACTCACTGTAAGAATCTGGCAGGGCCCCATGGGTTACACCTGTAATCCTAGCACTTTGGGAGCCAAACTGGGAGGATCGCTTGAGGCCAGAAGTTTAAGACTGGCCTGTGCAATATAACAAGACTCTATTTCTACAAAAAATAGAAATGCATGATGGCATGTACCTGTAGTCCCAGCTACTTGGAGGTTGAAGCAGGAAGACCACTTGAGCTCCAAAAGTTCTAGGTTACAATGAGCTATGATCTTGCCACTGTATTTCAGCCTGGGTGACAGCGAGGCCTTCTCCTAAAAAAAATGTTTAGCATTTGGCTATAAAGACTTTACTATTAATCTGTTAAGACCTACAAGGCGCCTGTGGTCCCAGCTACTTGGGAGGCGGAGGCAGGAGACTCACTTGAGCGCAGGAGTTGGAGGTTGCTATGAGCTCTGATGTCACCACACTACCCAGGGGGACAGCTTGAGACTCTGTCTCAAAAAAAAAAAAAAGACATACAAGAAACTTAGTAACAAGTACCCAGCTGGGTAAACTCCTAGAGGTTCATTTGGACATCTGACAAAGGAATTTTAAGAGATGATAAGACCTACAATTTGCATAGGTCTTCACTTACCAGATTCCCCCAGCTATAGACTGAGTCAAAGAAAGTGCTATTTCCCTTTACTTTCAAAGATGGCTTGGCTCAGATAAAATCCAGGATAATTTATCTGCTCACAATTGACTCCTCATTATGCACAAGTTGCTTTATAACCATATTTGCTCTCATAATGATTTTAACCCAACTCTTTGTCTAACTGGGGTCCAAATGATAGTGTACTTTTGGGGGATACAGCATACTCTTCTAGAACTCTAAAAGCCACATACTGGGTGGCTTTTCAGATAGGCAGTAACTTTCTTTTCATATTTTCTTTGCCTTCTTTGGCAATTGACTCGTTAATTCTTTTTTTTTTTGGAGACAGAGCCTCAAGCTATTCCCCTGGGTAGAGT